CTTTGCATTTCATGCTATATTATTGCGTGTACCTAGTTTTAATTCAACGACAAATCATCATGAATTCATCATTCATTACGAGCTGAAATCTATGAGTTTCGATTGAAATTATTAAGCTCCGGAGTATAGAAGAGGAGTGATCATTCAAAAAAGTGAATATTTCAGGTATATTGAAAGTAATGAAGGTATTTTGGGTTTAACGTCTGATTGCAAATATGCGGTTGGTTGGTTGTATTGATGTGCAGTATGGTATGCGTTAAGCAACGATATAAGGCGCAGAGAGCAGTATTCCACACGAAGAAGCTATAATGAAAACAGTAAAGATATACAAACACAAGCGATCCACTACCATCGCCGCAAATTTCCAATTATTCGACTGTGTTCCTTCATGATCCTGTTCTATCATTCGTTTCGTTATTGTCTAAAAGTTTTCGAGTAATTCTTATCGGATGTGTTTAAGGGAATTTGAGGATTTCATTCAAAAACTTCATGGTTTCATGATATTTAAGTACAAAACCTCAATAGAGGTGATCATTCTGATTATCATCTACGTATTGGTAACGATATGAATTTGATAACTTCAATATGTATTTCGCTCGAATGCACAATTCTTCAGAAATGTTTAGTGCTGAATTTGAATTCGTTACAATAGTGTGATTTTTTTTGAACTTATAAATGCTTGAGTATTGGTGCATGCAACAAGGAGTTGATATATATCATGCAGACGTAACAAGGTCAACGAGTCTAAACCAAAGGAATACCTTCAGTTCTTGGTATATCCGCTGAAGAACGAGTAAGGTAGCCTGCTGACCAATGTCAAGCGGAGGCCCAGCACCACTCACGGCGCCAGGTGCACCATTCAGGACTGTATACATCGGCGCACCGGTACCATTTGTAAGGCCACTCATGTACTGATGCACACGGCGCTCTACGTCAAGCGAATTTGACCTACTGAAATATTTCACTGTTACAGATCGTTTATCATTGCATTGAACTGTGTTATTTATCAATGGCATGCTATTTGTTTATTTATTATCTACTTTTGCAGATCATTATTCAATCATTTTGTGCTCACATATGAATTCTTGTTTCTTGCTTTGAAAGAAGTCATTATCGGAGTAGTTCTCTCGATGACTGACAACAATAATATCAGGAAATCTTTCAAAAAACTGATATATATCGTTCATAAATTAACAGTATCGCTCATAAATGAGCAATTAAAATGACGCATTTCAGTGTAATATCTTCACTTCGAAAAGCAGCCAAACAGTAAAAACAGGATTTGTTAGAGTCATTTCAACTGTAATAACAATTTTATGTGTGAGAGTTTATGACGGAAATAATTCTTTGGAATGTCGTAACCTCGACGCAGTTTCAACGTCCTTAATGTTTCGGATTAATGACTCGCTGTGTTTTTTCGGTTTTGAGCAAGGAAATAGAGGTGGTAGTGTTTGCCATGTGAGATATACACCTGGCCTGTTCATTCGTAAAATATACGGTAGCCAGTAGAGTAGAAGTGTACGAGTCTGCAATCAGTTACCATCTGTTCTCGTTAAACTCGAGAAAAAAAGTTGTCGTTAAAATCAAAAATTTGTAAATTTAATTCCGATTTTTATGGTACTATACGAAAAGCAATTGTATGTCAAAACGAATGCACGTTCTGCTTGATAAAATGATAATCAGTGAAAAATATTCGATCGACTGCAAAGAAGCGTTCAAAAGCAACGAACCATATTACCCATTTCGTGGGTTTCCGGTGTACGGTAGTGTAAATTTAATACATAGACAGTGAACACCGTTGAAGCGGTTACAACAATCATACAACAAGAGAAGAATATACCTGAAGATTTGCGTAATATCAATATTTTGATTGCGGAAACGGCTATGGAGAATGAATTAATGATAAAGAATGATAAAGTATTACCAAGTAATGGCACTGCTTCAGAAGTCGGTGGTGAGATTTCAGAAACGATACTCAAGAAGAAACAAATGGATAGTAACACTGTTATCTCTGTAAAATTAACTGTTGTTAGTATGTTACGAAGAAATTATAAACTTCTCAAACGTTTAATTTTTTCCATCAAATTTATGCATGAATGGTATCAAGCAGTAGTCCGCAATCTGGAACGCTGGCTTGAAGTGACAGTATAATTCTATATGGCTGCAGCCCATCCACCAGGTTATTTCTTCAGAAGGCCGGTAGACCTATCCACTATTGAATTTTCTAGATTAGTTAGTCCCTCNCATAGGTAGCATCACAAGGCTTTTTTGAGTATTGGATTTCATCGTGATGGCAATAAATTTGCTCAACTCAATGAAAGCACTTTACTTCTCAATCATAAATTTACTATAGCATCATGTATGAAATTTTTTAATGTAAGTAACAAAATTCAGTTGTGACGAATTGAATATACTATTAGCTGGATGTTAGTGGATTTAAAAAAGCGTTCTCTAGTAATCTCTATCCATCAATCAAACACAACAATATTCTCAATGAAGTAAAGATTTTTAATGCCAAATGATATATAGCCGTATTAATGGCTCGAATGATTAAAAACTCAAGAATAATTGACATGCTTGTAGAAGATTTACGATAAAACTTTTGGCTGCACTCTATAGCCAATCAATTTTTCACTCATCTTTTTATTTCAAATATTTCAAATGTTTTGCTCGTATGTATGATGTATAGGAGATTAAATTTAAGGCTTTGATAAACCAACGGTCTAATCGCTATTCAATACCGTTATTTCCATGTTGAATCGTACTGAATTTAAGCACAAAAGCGTAATCGATGAATTTGAACTTTGATAACGAGATAAAATGTAGAATGGTTGAACTAACGCAGTGTTATTTTCTCGCCCGCATCTGGTGGCAGTATAAAACCAAGTAGTGTCATCATTGTTGTCAATATACAAGGCATTATGAGGTTAAATCCTGAAACGAGAATCAATCGCGCTTTGAGTGATCAGCTCTTTTGCCCGGAAATGAATTGAACTTTTTTTTTGCAAGCGAAATAGGACAGTGTGCTTGAATTGAGTAAAATCATTCGTGTCATTTGATTCGGTGGAAAATTTAAGGAAAATTTATTCATTTATCACATCGCAAAATTTCTTTCTTTCTTTCAGCCAACAAACGATTATAATGAAATCAAATGCAAATGCATTGTCCGAATGGCTGCTCACTGGAAAGGCTCAAATTTTGATGAAAAATTCAATCAGTGAAAATTATATATAACTTCATTGAATTCACTTATGTGATAGTTTTTGGATGAGTGTGCATTCACGTGGCAAAAGCAGTGAGACTCGAGTGGAAGAGTAGTGGAAGACTCGCGAGCACATGAGCAAAATGGGAATCGCAATCGCGAGCGAGTGCAATGGGTAAACAGCCCAAAATTTGGTGAGCGTGAGCTTGAGCTGATCATTTCTCCCTACACCAATGAACAATGAGCGTAGAAAATTTTTTCAAGCCAAAAGTTTTTCGAAGCACGTTGTCAAGCCAATATCACATCGTTAAAACAGCAATAGAGGTACTTGCCATAATAGAGTGTACGTCTTCTCATATGTAAATAGAACGTCAAGTCAGGATACGGCTCTGGACAACACTCGTAGAATTTTTCCGTCCTTGAAACGGTTGTCACTAAATTTGTTGTGATGAATATTGCGAATCTCACAGACAAATGAGCGTTTTGACTAGATTTCAGTGCAATTTCAGTGTTTCAGTGCAATTTTCAGTACAGTTTCGTCAATGATAAATCACGAGAGTTGCTCAGAATCATTCAATTCTGAATCGATATTATTTTTGAACAACTGCAATCGATCATTTGCTGTTGATCTGGAAAGTAAGTGAGACAAGCATGATGTATGTGTATCGTATATCGTACTCACTGGGAAGTGCCCATTCACCACTCGGCATATACTCGGATATATCGAATCCTCCTTTTCCTGGTTGCAGATCCAGCTTAAATCCATCATATGTCCATGAACCGAACTGAAATTTAGCAATCAATTGTTAGCACTCACTTCTCTTGTGTTCTGGAAGTGATATACATTAAATCTCGATCTAAAGAGCATTTTTATCTTCCAAAATGATTTGGAGATGGCGTAAGAGCATCCACATTCCTAATATTTTTCCATTTGTTCCTAGTTTGTTTCCCTCAGATAGTCTCCACAATAAAGTCAAAAATCGATCAGAATTGGCGACTTAATCTCCGCAGAGAAGCAAATTTGCCAGGTTGCTGGTTACTTTTTTTGGAAAATGCTGATTTTGATAGACAATTTAGTAAAGGCGATCTTTCCTCTGTTTCACACTATCTATAATTCAGAAGCGAGCCATCCATCAATCACATAATCATTTCATCACGTCTGCCTATTGCAAAGGCGTCCGCAAAAAAGCAATTTATATCGCATTCCAGTCAATGCTCAACCAAAATTCAATAAACATTTAATGCGCAGTCCTACTCAAATCTGACTGAAATCCTTTTATAATCATCGCTTTGATAAGTTTCATCATGTTCATCAGATATTCGCACAATTCGATGAAACGTTCAGAAAAAGGAAGAAGAAACGAGCAAACCTTAAAAAAACAACGTTGCTCATCGAAAGGGAACCATTTAATATTTATCTTACAGCTAATTTTAAAAATACCAGGAGGAATCCATGATATATCACCCGTATTATAAACGATCATATTTGTTGGATAAGTTGAATCAAAACTTGCGTCCACACTGAAATTATTTCATAATCGCTGTGTCATCATTCTCTTTCATTTATTATTTTTCAGCGGACTATCAGAACAAAATCAAAAAATTGATTCAGTGATCCACAAGTTGGCTGTCAAAAATTCGTCGATGCATTATCGTCCTCTCCTGACCGAATAACCATTCCGAAAACACTATGGAATAATTACGAAAGTAACGCAAAAAAA